CATAATGTGGCACCATTACCTTTGCTAATCAATMATTCATTTATGATATTTGATTATATTTATTCATAAGATAAAATGGTACCTTCTCCACATGACGATGAACATAGACAGGGTAACATAGCCACTTTTATTCCCCCCTGCTGCCGAAAACAAAGGTTCTTTCCAGTAGAGAGGAAGATTACATGCCTAGAAAATTCAATTAAAACAAAAGAAAACAAAATAATACTACAACATAAATAATTATAGATTATAACTAGAATAACACAGTCAATGATATTTGATGATTTTGGGATGTTGCAGCAAAATCTTTGTCTGTGGTTCCAGGGGGCTATGTCATAACTAGGTTATAGTTTCGCTTCAGTCACCACATGACTCGAGTTTTATTCCATCAAAACGTACTTACTAAGACCACTAGAAAGCTGTTTGGCAGAAAGTCAAAAGCCCACATCTTGAATAATACCTCCTTGTCTGGTCAGGTATTTATAAAAACACCCCTTATAGGGGGGGATATTTGGGATTTGCTGTATTGCAGTGTTTGCCATCTTTTTCATGTGGTATTTCAGTGATTGGAACTGCTTAATCAAAGTATTGCGGTGATCTCAAACCTTGCAATTTATGGTATTTATGTTTTTAATGTATGGTGTCTAGTGAAACAATCTAATTGATTGCAGTGTTGTATAGTTTCTCAGATTTTTCCATGATTCTGTGCTTTARAATCATGTGACTCTTAAACTATTGCTGTGTTGGTGTTTCTTTGACTTTTTGTGTGGTGATGTAGTGAATTCGGAATTTTTTCCAGTGTTGCAGTGCTTGAGCCCCCCGCCCCCCTCCCCAATGTCCCCCTCCTTATAGAAAGAATACTAATGTAGTGATATGACTCTTGCAACAATTAGTAATAAATGAATATTATTTGTAAAGCATTAAAAGCACCTCAGGCATGACCTATCAAGCATTAGCGACTTCTAGCAAATTCTACCATGAGTTCTTTTTATGCTTTTAGTTTTGAGCAGATTAGAAATCAGGTCAATGTKTTTATGTAACTATAACTGAATCAGGAAATGACCAGTATGATTAAGAAATGTTGGAACATGTTTTTCATTGAAAGGTATAATATAGGGTCAACAAGTTTGAATTAAATAAAATGCTTCACTGACTTACAGAACTGCTTATTAAGAAAGGCTTATGGTAATATAGTTATTGGTGTTGTAGATAATTTCTACACAAGTTTACTAGACTAGAATTAATCTACCAGGCCATTCGTCATCCTCGTGACATATCGTGGAGTTCAATATCGAGTGACACACTCCAGTGGCCTAGTCTTGCTAAGTTGGTGAAGATAGAAAATTGTAAAATATCAAGTTCTTTTTGAGGATTAGGGCTCTAATCCTTGCTTTACTGCTGACAATATTTAGGGATTTGTAAATATTAACTGAGTGAGCAAACARCACTTAAATATTTTTTCTTAAGACAAGAATTCGAAATTATTAAACATATTATATAATATTTCCATGGTAATGTTTATAGCAAGAAAATATCTTATTGCGATAATTAGCCAAGAGATCTCTCCCTTCCATACTGCGAATCTATATATATTATCATTCGGCACCCATTTAGCACTACATTAAATACTATCCATCGACGCGATAAAAAAGATCTGTAATAAGTTTTGAGTTTGTTCTTGTTATAAAAACATCGTCATTCTGAGATAATGAGACAGATTTGAAATTAAAGGGAATTAGAAGCTTTTCAACTCGACAAACAAGGAATAATTCAAATGTCTTAAGGTCATTTAGCAAAGCAAATAAGCGATCCATTCCCAGCATGGAAGATGTTAAGCACGTGCTGAAAAAATCCCAGTTATATTGCAGTTGAGTTGAAAATCAGACATCAAGGAGTTTATTTACCAAAATATCAAAAGATCAAGCGGAGACAGTGGTCAATACACGCAGGAGGCTTAAAAAGTTGTACAAGAGGATCGCAAACAATCGGATAAGCATGGCATAATTTTAAAAATTTGATATTGCGCGCCTAAGTTGACCAAGATCTGAACAAGAAAACCACAAGAAACCATACAAGTGCGTTATAATATCCAACACAGAGATCATTTTATCTAGGAGTTTTAGCAACAATCTCTGTTAAGAAAGAAAGCTGGATTCTCTTTGCGGTTTCTGACTTGAGAAAAACAAGAGGGAACGAGAGTGTATGGTTGAAACACAACAGGTTGAAGTAAAACTTTCCGGTCTTGATAGATATCTAAAAAACCCCAGCAAACTCGGAATACACTTGGCAGATTTACGTCTTTCAGATTTTCAAAGTAAAAAAAAAATTCTTGAATTTAAAAAATATGAACCAGAAGTGAAAGGCTTTCGCAAACTCATGACCATGATCACGCTATATTATGTTGTACTTTGTACAATGGTCCAAGAAAAATTCACGATATTTGTTCTTACCTTCGTAACTGTGGCAAACTGAGCCTTGGTGATTTTTCCTTCTTCAAAGATGTTAAAAACTTGAGCAACCTTTTTTATAGTTAGATCCGATTCTGCGGAGCTAGATGGGGGTTTGCCATAAGGAAAGAAGAATTTTGGGATTTTAGCAGCAGATCCAGGGGATATCTTTATTGATCCATGTTTGTCATCGAGCGACTGCGAATTATCCTTCATTTGATTCTTACTCGAATCATGYCGTTCAGGTTCTGGTGATCGAGGCGGACCACTCTTAGCGCCCGATTTTCTGAGCGATCGAAAGTCTCTAGGGCTTCTTGGTGATCTCACTGGTGTTGGAGATGATGATGGTGCTGGGGGGGAAACAGATCGAGCACCTCCCCCCGGACCTGGTGAAAGTAAACATTTGGGAGAGATAGGACGACCTTCGATCACCTTGTTCAAGTCATCGCGGAGAATTCTTTGCGTTGCAGGCATCGAAAGCCACCGTAGAAATAACTCATCTACTTTTGATTTTAAGTTCGGTGTTACGGCCATGTGAACCATGAAGTCTAGTAAACAAATAAAGCCAACTAGTGAAAATTAACTTTTTTGGGTATAATTTACGATTCGACGAAGACAGGTTCTCAYGCGAACCTTAACCAACTCCTTTACAGTTCTACACCCAAGAATATCGTGTTTTAAGATTAAAATTAGGCTYGTGTGGGTGAACAAATGATGTCAGTAAACAAGGAAAGACAAAACAATGATGTAATTATCGGAAGAATGTCAAAGGAATGTAAAGTTCCTCGCCCAAAGAACTCGAAGCTTCTCGATAGTTTGTCAACTTTCCATTGAGAAGAATATTGTTTCAAAGCCTTTTCCTGTACACAAATGATATTCAACAGGATCCTGGTACTTTAGGTTTATCCAAACAATCCAAATAATGTGAAGAAACCTTGTAAATCCATGGTTATTTGGTGGCTTTTACGGCAGAGAAGTGAAGCCGTTCAAGAAAACATCAACTCAAATGTGGCGCGCAGACGAGGAAGACACGAAATGAACCCGTCGAGTCAGCGGCTTACTCTACTAGCACCAGGCCTAACTCCTTTTCTACTCTTATTCATTCATTCATTCGTTCATTTTATTTTTTCAATTTCATTTTTTCTGCAATTTATTTTAGCTCTATCTATTTTCCTTTCTTTTTAATGTGATAAAATTCTGTAATGTAAACGATAGCCAGTAGTTACAGCCCTGTTGTACGAGGGGTGGATAGAGCTAAACAACGGATAAATCCTCATCAAGTGAATAAAATGATCTTATTCATGATCAATAAATGTCAACGCGACWGAGCTGGAATACGGTGTAAAATGATTGCACCTCCCGCGTATGCCGTCTACCGCATGCAAAAAGTGATCGAATTTAATTTATCAATTATTGCCTTTTGGCTTCCTTATCAAACTATTTCTAAATTAAAAACAAAGAAAAAGTTAAAAACGAGCAACAATTCCAGTTAAAACAGAGTTGTTTATTAAATTTCTTAAATATATATAATATATATATATAATCTCATAAAATATCGTTTTATTTTACGTATTGACTGGCGAAGCGAAAACAGGGATGGTGACTAAAGGGTTCGTAACCTCCAAAGCGCAACCTGACCAAGCATTTTCATAACGTTAGGCTATTTATAAGCATTCATTTTTTCACTTCTTGATAATCCTAGGTTTATTACAAATAACTGAAGATTGAATGATACATTGTTACCTAGAAAGGAAGGAATATTCGAGTGCTTTCTTTACATATTTCATATCTTTTTTCTCTTTCTTATACAGAACACAATCCATTATTAGAGTTTAAAACCATCCACTGAGGTCTGTACACATTGTATATCACCAAGAATAAAACTTTGTCACCTAGTTATTAAACCTCATGCATATGTTAAAACCACAAAATGTTAAATGATTTCACGAGGATAATGGATTAAACGAGGGATAAAAAGGCTGTCTTTTCTTTAGTTTGTTAGCGCTAGTCGTTTTTTAACGAGCCGTGATTGCAATGGGAAGGAATTTCCTGTGGGTGGGATGGGAGAGTTGTTTAAACACCTTTTTCTGTTCGATAAACATTATACATTGTGGTTTAGCAAAAGAGGAAGACAGGAAAAAAACAAGGAAGTAGGAATAAAACAATCGGTATAAGAGAGCAAGAAAAGTGATTCCTCTTCAGATTTTTTCACGTAGTAATTCATATTCGATTTTTTGAAAACAGTTCCGAGTTAAAACAACATGTCATTTGTGCATACCGATTTTAAAATGTCCGTACGTATATATGACTTTACAATAAATGTCCCGGTATATTGCCGGCTAGGAAGACTTGCTAAGGTCTCTGACACAATCAGCACAGTCTTGCCACACGTATCCCAAGTACATAACACCTTCAGTTACTCAGTAACACAGGCAGCCCGCGCAATACACATGAAAGTTTGGTTCGATAAGCACATAGGTACTTCATACATGGAACGATATTCCCTTGCTTAAATGCCTGTTCTATTTTGACCCATACCGGACTGGGGGAAGTACGATCCACTGCCTGGGGGAGGGGTCGGCCATGAATTAATACCCCCGGGTGGCAGGGGATTTGCGGTGGGATTACCTAAGTACATTCCGGCAGAAAATGGATCATCTGGATAGTATCCCTGTGATGGATGACTGTAAGAGCTCTTACTCGGTATATCATAGCCCTGGTTTGAAGATTGATAATATCCGGCGCGTGATCCCGTGTCAGAATAAGCTGTTGGGTAGCCAGTGGATAATGGGTTGCCAAACGGCGTCATAGCAGGGGTAGAAGACTGATTGTAGGATGGTGACTGTGGTGTCTGACTGAACGCAGAGGTTTCCCTGTTTGAGAACGCTGCTTGGTCATACCCTGGATATTGTCTTGATCCTGCCATACTGATGCTGTAAGATGGCGGTCTGCCTGGAGGTGAGCCGGGGTAAGTACCCGTCGAGAGACCCGATTGATTGTACCCGAAATAAGTTCCATACGACGAAGCCTGCCCGTAGTCTGGGAAGCTATATCGACTATCAGCACCCACGCGAGGGTAGGAACTGGGCGAAGAAGGGACTCTCGATACTCCCATCCTGTCAGTAGGGAAACCAGGATCTGRCCTCAAGGGTGAACGAGGACTGCGCGACGCTGTTGGTGATCGCAAGGTGCCATAAGGATCAGGTCTTGCAGGTAATCTTTCGTTACTAGTGAAACACGAAGCTAGCGCACCAAAGCCTAAAGAATCGAGCAGTGGGTCTATTTTAGGCGAGCTGATACGTTCAAGAGGCGGTGGCTTACTCTGTGGGCCAGGTACTTCAAGAAAACCCTTCTTGTGCTGATCAGAATGTGCTTTCTTCTTGTTACTGTCGTCCACCTGTTTCTTCTCTTCGGGTGTAACTTTATCTTGCTCACTGTTATCTTTGCAATTCGTTTCACTGTCTTTAACAGTTTTTAAAGAGGGGGTCTTTATTGTGGGTCCTGACTTTTCCGAGCTGGTGTCTTCTTCACCTTCTTTACCAGAGACGCGAGAATCGTTGGAAGATTTTTCAGCTTTTTCTTGCTCGTTTGTTAGTGTACCCTCAGTCGGTTCATCGTTACTCTCTTTTTCTTTCACATCTTTACTACTGTTCTCTTCATTCATACCCCGATCTCCTTCATCCGTCACCTCATCCTGCTCGGTTTTCTCCTTGTCTCCATTTTCTTCAATTGTTGTTTCTTCCTGCTTTTTGTCTTCCTCATTTTCATCTTCTTCCTCATCATCCTCGATAATATGCCTCCGTAAGTAAACATGGCGTTTTGGTGGCTTTGGTCGATCATCATCCGAACTGGCGCCGTAGTCGAAATCGCTATACTTCGAGTCCGTATCACTTCCTGAATCTAAGTCTTTCAGCCTTCGCGATCTCCGTTTTCCAACCCTCGATGCAGGTTTCGAAGAGCTGCGGCCAGTGTAGAACCGATCAACAGCGAAGGCAGGTTTCCCGGTTGGATGGCCATTCATTTCAGTGCTTTTTATGTCGACTTCTACTGCGTCTTTGATTTCCTCATCAAAATCTCTGAAAGTATAGTCTACTGTTTTCCTTGCTCGTCCAGACCGTCTTATTGTGTCGATCTGTTCTTCATCACTATTTGGTCCCTAAACAGTTAAATAAACGATTAGTTTTTATCAGATTTAGCTGACCGCTATGCATATTAACCAAATTCCCTGCCCCATCCCCACCCCCCTCAGACAAACGCACACACAAAAATGAACACGCCGCCCAGAATTGACTGAAGTTAATTAAAAAACTTGTGGATATGTTTTATACTCTGAGGGTAACTTGAAGATAATCAAAAAGAAAGGAAGAAAAATACTGAGTAAAAAATAAGAACGATAAATCAGATAGACAAAAACGTAAGGTAATATCATGAATAAATTAATAAATAACTATTAATAGATAAATACGATACTTGGGCATCATTACCTGTAAAATGTTGGATAAATTCATCCCAGATTTATCAAGCCTGAAAAAAGATTGAGAAAAATGAGTTAAATTGGTGAAGCCAACTGCGCATGCGCTAAATTTTACATGAAGTACCCTAAAACGGGCGACTGCAATTTAGAATTAACATTTTTGTCTTTGTAAACTAATTATGTTCCTTTACTAATAAATAAGTAATGCTTTTGTTAAAATATCATCAGAGCAAGGATCCCACACGTGAAAAAGCTATTTGCTTTCCTTATATAAATACGATGAGGGTTCTTATTCTAAAATATAGCCGTCGCTCTGCCACACATTCACCTTGATTTATGAAGGAGAATGCGCCTCGCGACAAGGCTTAGATTACGCAGGACGACTCCAGCCTAAGAAACAGGTTGTTGCTAAAAATCGATAACTTGTGCCGACAACTGGAAACATGCTTTTATATTTATCTTGCTAGAAACATTACTAATAACGATGGTCCAAGAATAAGGGTGAATTTTAGGATGCTACATCAAAAATGTTGACAAGACTAAATGCAACGGTAGTTTTAGGTCGGGAAAAGTAAGAGGCCAAATTACAATACTACTTCACTCTCAATAGGACATGTTTCCTATTTCCATTTATTCAGTTTTCAAAAGATTTTTGTATTTTTGGGTCGTTAATAACTTTCTTTTTTTCTTTCTTTCTTGTTTTTTAATAGGATTTACTTCTTTTGATAATCACCAGTTTTTAAATTGTAATTGGAAAAACGTTACTTGTCTACAGAATATCTACGYATTATATTTACGAAGATTTGAAAACTCTTAAAGAACTCAGGACCATGAATCTCGAAAGTAGCTACGAAGAAACAGTCATTGAGCCGCCAATACGGGTTTATATTGGAGGCTAGTTGGGAGAAAGTATATTCCGTATTGGCTTCGCGACTACGACCAATACGAAATATATTTTCTTCCAACTAGCCGCCAATATAAACTCGTAATGGCGGATCGAAATCGCAATAAGTTATAATGAGAGAAAGGCAAGGGAGGCTTACCATATTTCCTCTATTGAACACCCTGGGCGCTTATTCTTTTTCAGTGCATTGGACCATGGGCTTATTAGAAGGGGGAAGGGGGGGGGGGCTTATTCGATGCTGGGGGCTTAATAGAGGAAATAGAGTAGTTAAGGATTCAAAAGACCTTTTCTACTTAGATGAGCTACATGGCCAATCTGCCCAGTCATCTGGCACAAACCTCTTTGCCTGACGTGCTCTAAGTTTTTGCCGTGCAACCAATCKAGTTTTTTTCTCTTTTAGCCTCTCTAGTAAAACAAGCTGGAAGAAAAGGTACAAAAGTTAAAAAAAACATCATTTATACACACGACAGTAAGGGATAGAAAAGGAAGAGAGGGTGGGACAAAGATGGGAGAGAAGAAGAAACAGGGGAAAAGAGGGAAAGGAAGAAAGGGAAAAAAGTTAAAAAGAGGGAAGAAAAAGAGAATTTTTTTGAGCAGGAAAGTGGGAAAAATAAAGGACGAAAAAGTGAGGGAAGAGGAAATAAGGGAGTTAGGGATGAAGGGAAATCAGGCAAACATCAAATATGAAGTAGAAATAAGAAGGGAAAATAAAAAAGGAAAATAGGGGTGGGTTAAAAACTCAAGTAAATAACCAAAAACAAATTTGTAATAAAAGTAGAGAAAGGCCTAACATCATACGGTACATACCTGTTGACAGAATGGACAGAACCAGTCTCCTTGAGGTACATTCAATAATGGTGGTCGCAGACAGGCTGTATGATAGGCTGCGTCACACTTGTCACACAATAATATCTGACRAATACAWAAAACATTATCGCATCAATAGAGTGTTTATTTRCACATCACAGCAGCCATATTGGTATACCAAAACAATACATTTTCTATCCTCCRGGAATTCTATTTTTATGAAAAATCTGTGCAGAAAGTTTCTATTGTTTGGTAAACCAATATGGATGCTTTGTAACATGAGTGAAAATGTTCTATAGGTATATGAATTTTGCAATAGTGYATTCTTACTGAATCTGGATGGACATTAGAATAACATCTTGCACATGGATTATCATCATCATCTTCTTCTTTGACAGCCGCTTTCTTAGCTAAAAAAGTGTGATATAGATTAGTAAAGGGTTCACTATGATATGTGGAAAAAGCCAGTTTACAGTAAATGCACAGATAAGATGAATAGTAGGACTTCATTTTTATTATAATATTTTATTTACGACCATAGCCCATGAAGGGCTCTACCGTGAGGTCCCCACCCCCCTCCCCAACACACACACACCATCCCCTTGGAGGTAAAAATATTGGCAACCAAAGAAACTGAACACATGCACATATGCAGTTTATACAAGAATTGAATCAGTGATTCCAAGCTTGAGCTACTGTACACAGTAATGAGAGAGTGCATCATAGCAACAMTTGCCAACCAAGCCACCAAATATAATTCTAGGGTTTGATCCCCAAATCCCCCAAAAAGCCATCAATATTATTTACTTTTACCAGCATAGATATTTTCAATTCTTACATTTCTTTCCTTTTTTTGATTTTGAATTGGCTGCTTCTTTTTTTCTTTCTTCTTCTCTCTTGGCCATWACAATATCTTTAGGGTTGGTTGCTGATTTTAACGCCAAATAGTCCACAACAACCCCCAATTCATCAAGGTCACTGAAAAATACACGAAAAGTTATATMAAAAAACACTGAAATTAAATTCCAAGGTTTGTGCCTTCAGGTGATCTCCTGCTAGTCGAGTGTCCCTATTTGTTACACCAGTGTAGAAGACTCTACTCAAGAGAAAATGAACTAAGAGAAGAAATGTCTGGTATTCATGCTTGTAACCATCATAGGCATCGATTAATGTATTTTTAGAATCACTTGTTTTCTCCATCATTTGTTTTCTCTGCATGTGTATACTGAGCGCGTTCTACTCTGTTTGCTCACGTTTTCTTAAAAACCAGGAAAAAAATGAGCAAACAGTGTAGAGCGCGTGCAGTATGCATGTGCAGAAAAACAAACGATCAAATAAATGATTAGAAAGATAGCATCAAAGATTCTTAAAATAGTATCAAAGCATGCTCATAATGTGGCAGTATGAGGATTCCTTTTTTCGGTTCATTTTCTCTTTTCTCAATTTTCTTTACAAGTAGAGAATGGACAGAACCTAGACCCTGTTGAATGATTTTCCTACTTCAAACTCTCAAAGCAGAGCTTCACTTACGATGCTAAAAGYTTCCATGATTCATTTTCCACTTCATCTTCTTCAGTGGAATATAACCTTACYCCACCACATTCATCCTGTTAAAAAGAACAAAAGTGAGTCATAAGATATGCTTCACACCCTTAAGGATGCTCAGGACTATTTGCTAGACGTTTGAGCAACCTTACGCATGCGACAATTCTTACTACAACATGTAAGCTTTGTTGGCACATTAACAYCTAGTTAACATGAAGTTGTCTTATCAAGATATATATGTAATATCGTAATATYAGAGATCTCACCATGTGAAACCAATATAGAAGTCCATCCATGTCCCGCCCAAAAGGTCTTAGCCGTAGCTCATCAGCTTCGTAGTTCTTGTTAACTTCGGTCTTAAGCTTGTTATTGCAATCAAATTGGCTTTCTAATAGCATCTAGTGAGGGGGGGGAAAAATGTTGAAACACACAACCAAACCAAGTACTAAGATGTAAACTGCAATGAACTAGCATTCTGTTCAGGAATAGTTTTAGTGGTAGGGTGTATGGATGTTCCTATTATTCCTTGCCTGTAACCCCATGCAGTTGTCAGAACTCCTGTTGACCCTCCCAACTACTATCATACTGGACAGCCTTTGCCTTTTCACCTCATGATTACAAAACTAAACATCCAAGTTTAGTTTATAACCTTAATTATAAAATATTTGAGACTTAACGCACACACTGATTGGCTGGCTACTGTGTTAATATCAGAGGAAAGAGACACAATGCACGCTTCATATTCCTCAACCAAACAATGCATTCAAATACCTTAAACAATTCCAGCTTGGTACAGACTTTAAGTTCATCGTATCCAAAGTTCTCTAGATCCCATGAACTTAGCATATTCTGTTCCTTAGCAACCTAACAAACAATAAACCAATGTATTTAGCATGGTAGGAATAGAAATTATTGAATACTGTATGGCATAAGAGCTTTTAGAAGGAAGCCTTTATACATATTYATTATGTAGTAAGGATAGTATGCAYRTTCTGATTGGTCRAAAACTGTGCTTTATTAGTGAACRAAGCACRGTGCTGACGMCATCTGCTCGCACATGAAGTTCTGCTAGATCCTGCGACCTTTCTTTTTTCRTAAATAAATTCAATACCAAAAAAAAGTAGATATATAACAAACTGAATACAACGGTTTTTTCCATGCTCCAATCAGAAATAAAGCACTTAGGRAGTGCCCTAAGCACTCAAGAAGTGTGAGAAGYACTCRCCTATGGCTTGTGCTTCTCCTTACACTTCTTTTGTGCTTAYGCYATTTCYTGTGTGCTTCATTACTGAATAGAGCACAGAAAATACTGCTTTATTTGTTAAAAAAATCACCCTGACAACAGAGCTCCTGGCTTTAATTATATCAATTGTTACAAGGAACCTCTGCCTAGGTTTTGCAGTACTTAGTGTACATGTTTCACTGTTTTTTTTTGTTTTTTTTTTGAGAAATAATTTCAGAGACAACAAAGGCATTCAAATTTGACAATTTTGAATTTATGAAATGTGTTTTTGTCACTCGGTACAGATCTATATGTAAAGTGTATGCTAMATTCTAGCAATATAGCTCATATTTTAGTGTTTAACTAACCTTTAGTAAAGCTTTCTCCCATTTTTCAGGCCTGAAGTTCTTATGTAATTTGACCAACAGCTTCTTATACAGGAATTCAAGTTGTCTGTAATTTTCTGCAATTTCAATAAATACAATTATTATAAAAGGACTATGAAACAATTATTGGATGGGGTAGAGCATGACATTGTAAATGATCAAGACCGCGAATGTGTCTTGATAGTTTATGATATTATGCAAAAACCAAATATTTCAATTATTCACATTAAATTTTATATATTTATTTATTTATCTTGTATACTGAGAATGAAGATTTAATTCTGCTCTAGAAAAATAATCAAATATGAGTTTTTTGTCATGATCTTGAATGAACTTTACATGATAAATGAATTGTCTGTAAAATGACCTACAGATAACAGATAATATATTTATCATGTCAACTTCACATACTATCAGGAATTGGCCAAATGTTCTCATCCAAACAGAAGCAAGAAAGAGGTTTTGCACCATCACGTGATGGCAGCYATGACAGGAGGAATGATTTAATATGGTATAATCTGATTTAGATGAGAAAGAATTTGGTTTCCCTTGGGTAAAAAGGACTATTGTTGTGCCTCCTGTCATGGCTGCCATCACATGTTGAGTAAAACGTTTAATAACCACAATCTATGTCTTTTTGCCATGATTTTCTATTAATGAATGCTCTTTTTTAAGAGTTAGTGAATTAAGTAAAACTGTAAATTGATTTAGTATCATAAAATTAATGTTCCTGCCATAAAAAGCAAAAAAAATAAACGTAAGCCTATTGTCTTAAGTAATATGTGAATATTGAAATTCCTTTTTTTTATTTCCATTTTTCTTTCATTACTTTTCTTTCATTTCAATTTCATTTTAAATCAAAACCAGCTAAAAAAAGCAGTGAACTACTTGAACAAATTGTGCAGAATCCATAATTTTTCCTTCCTCAAGGAAATTTAAATTCATCGTGAAGAAAACGCGATACAGACAGACAGATATGAGAATGGTTGTCAATGCTATCCGGGGTCAGATGGAAGACGGTTTATCAAGTATATCTCCAAAATATTCAAGCTCCAAGCGTCTTAAATAAACCAAGGCCAAAATTCATGCCTAGGGTATCGCTATAGYATATTTAAAAACAAGAAAACGATCTTAGGTTCAAAAAATTTCGTAAACACATGATTGGAATAGAATCTAAGGCCTTTTTGTAGCTGGTTCACGTAAACAACTTCGTGGTCACTTTGTAACGCTACTTCGACTTTAGTGCGGTAACTTTGAAAACACTGCGTCTAAAAAAAAACACAACAACAAACCAAGATTTGCAGGGAAAGAAGCCATGGAGGTCGACTACAAGGCGTCGCTCGGAAAAACAACGAGTCAAGCACTAAGAAATAGCTTTTTTAATCAAGAAGTGAATATGAATTGTCCAGCTGTCATGAACAAGCTTTGTCTTTTTTTCTCTTACATTAAAAAAAGCCACCAAATTCAACGACAAACGACGAAAAACCTGACCGATTTTGACGTTTTTGCATTGCGGATACAGATATCAGGTATGTGGCTCACTTCTCAGCACATTATGTACTTGTTTTTCAAAGGTTTCGTTTGGATTGAGTGATAAAGTTAGGGAAGCTATGATGCTAATGGCCTACCGTTACGAGACGAATGGCTGTTAAAACCGTCCTCTAAACCGTCTAAACTGAGCTCTGGAAACCTTAGCAACTCGCAAAAGTTCTCCAAGTAAGACCAAATGATTGCAAATTCGGGATATTCGGCGGCTCTGCCGACCTTTTTGGGGCTAAAAGATTGATCTTGGATGTCTTCTTCAGCATCGCTACTCCCTGTCGACGCCATTTTGTTGGAACAAAGACCAGTCTCTCTCTCCAACAAACAAGCGCGTAGTGTACCACTATAGACTAGGGGGGAGGGGAGGGACAGTAGACCAAACTAGTTWGAAGGATTAAGCCAAAAAAGAAAAAAAAAAACAACTCTATAGCCTCTATGGCCAGCTAATAAAAAGACAAATAGGATTTTTGAAGTAATTTATACTTCTATTAACAAATAGATTTTCCTAAATAATTTTGGTCTCCGAGTTCAGATATAATTCAATCTAAAAAAGAACTTAATAAATAATTTTCCTCCGTTGATTTTGGCCGTTAACATTCAATTATATTCCTAACTAGTATATAAAGTGATGTTAAACTGTGCTCTTCTAAATTTTTTAACGTATAAATCGTGCAGAATAACTTAACGGCAAATTACGATTTCCAGGCCGCGGGGGACCGGGCACAACACTTGACGCGGTAGTGTCTTCACACATTCATCTTCTCTTTTGCCGTCTGTAATTTTTAAGAACAATAAACTGTTCAAACGTGATAATACCRCCCTTTTTCGTGTCCAGAACATCAAACAATGCTCTGAGTTGTTTATCACTGAATGGAAAATTTCGCTTTTTGATTCCCGTCACGAATTCTTCTTTCTTGAGCGAGAGGCGAGTGTGATCGTTTATGAGGATCTTGTAAAAGTCAATCAGTCGAAAACCCTGGTTGTGGATACAAATGAGGAGAAGTTCCATTGGTTCAGGCTGTTTACCAGAAATTACAGATCCCCCTTTGATGGTTACATCCCAAGTACACAAGAATGTGGGATTTTGTTCGAGTAGAGCCGAGAGGTGCGTCTCGCATTCTTCATTGAAGACAACATCTTCCAGTGTTAATTCGCACAGTGCACTCTGTTGGTTTGCTAGCAGGGATTTTAGAATCATGCTTGCCCCTGACGAAAGAAACGGATTTTTGCCGATTTTCAAAACTTGTAGAGTTCTATTGCGGTGTAGTGCTTGAGCAATGTGCTTGATTCCAGTTATAGAGATATGATTACTAGACAAGTTAAGAATCCTTATCGATTTATTGTCTATTAAAGTCTGTTTGGTACATTCCGCTCCGAAATTCCCAAGTCCATTCCATGACAAGTCCAGTTCCGTCAATGAGGTATTTCGACTGAGCCCTCGGCACAGCGCTTCAGCACCTGCAGAACGAATATTATTCCAACTAATATCTAGAAACGTCAGCGATTGGTTATTCACTAAAACCGGCCCTAAACGAATAGCTCCRCTGTCTCCAATCTCATTATAGGACAAGTTTAGAGATTTCAACTGGCTGTTGACGCATAAAGAAGAGACGAAGGCTTCTGCGTCACTTCCGGCTTGGATTTGACAGCCAGAAAGATTCAGCTCCTTCAGGTTCACATTGAATTCAAGCATTTCTCCGAGGGCTGTTAGTCCAGGTTTTCCAACACGATTCCCAGACAGATCCAGCTTT